TGTAACTCCAAACAAGTGCCTGTGTAATCGCCTTATTATGAACTCTTCTCGAGAAGCTTCTCGTATTCGGTTAATTAACTGCTGCTCATTTTATACGGGTGTTCAGAACTCCATTGGTATAATCTGATCTTRCATACGTGGTAGGAATGTAGCCGGTATTTATTTGGTGCCTGGGAAAGTGTCAGTTGTTCTGCAATGTTCTGTGTGCCCCTGCAAGGCTCTTCTCCAATTATGTCCGATACTTGTTCCTCTGTATCTGGAACCCGAGCCATCTATTGTCGTCCACTATCTTCCTGGAACCACTCTCCTTGCCCTTTGTTGGTGTGAGTTCTTTCAGCTTCKGCTATGTTACTGTAGCATTTCCCCTGAACTAATCGCATWTCMGCAAATTTGTGAAAGGAAATGCAAAGTAAGTCACAGCTTGACAAATTATTGTTATTATTGACAAGGGCTATCCACCTGTAACTATCTGTTAATGACAGAAAACATCATTGCCGCCTTGACTTTTTATCAAAAAATTGGAAAATTTCATGTTAAAAAAGACAACTTATTTAACATGAAAAATTTCCGTAATTTGAAGCAAAGATAGTAATTTTCTTTTTGATTGCTTAAGTATTCCAATATACTTCCAATTAAACATGGAACACTTTCAAAATAATGTTTAATAACAAAGTCGAAATTCGATTTTCAGGTGTTAATATCTTCTAGAAATTGTCGAAAAAAAATTTTTTATATTTTTCTCGTACCTTCCAAGTGAGCCCCTATTACCCCTTAAAAGGAATGACGCCAATTCTGAATCACCCTACGGCGTGTCCCACCGGGAACCACCGCGATCGATATTTGACAAACTGTAATTTGGAGAAATTTGAAAATTGCACAGTGTGCCAAGGTCATTGGGGTAAGCGGTCTAATACATTTCCAAAATGGCCCCACTTCCGCTTATACCGGAAGTAGGTATCAACTTGCTTATTTTAAATGGTTTTTAACTTAAAAACGTTTAATTTCACATCACGCTAAATACCAGTAAGTTATTAACGTGCGTTTTTCCCATGGTATTAAACAGGAGAATACATTGAAAATATTAAGCCTGGGTTAATTTGATGGCCCTAAACTTTACTGAAACCAGTCCAGTAAAATGGATCATTTTTATTTTATAAAACGAATTTAGAGTTTGTGTGCTTGCAGGGTAAGGGTTACATAAAGGTTTGATCACATTCAAAATGTTTCGCACTAATAAAACCTCATGAGGATGAAAATCGAAATACTTTTTGGCAGCGGTTCCTTTTGTAGGACATCAGGTGCTTTAACTTGTGTTTTTTTAACTTTTTCGTTTCCCATTTATTTGTGGATAACTATTATGATTTCATTGACGATCTTTTTTCTTCTTTTCTTCTGTTATAGTAATTAAAACGAGACACCGGACAATAACGCTATATTCACAGTTAGATTTGACGTAATTTGGTTTCAAAGTGAAAATATGAATGGCGGTATATTTTGCTCTCCAATGGTTTGAAATGTTTTGATAACATTGCTTTGGAACTCATTTGAAAATCGATATTTTCGACAGGTACCAAATGTGTCGTTTAATTAATTCGAATTTGTTAATTTTGAAGTAAAACATAAGGGATTCACGTAGTTGTAATAAGGAAAACGTTATTGTCAAATACATTTTTGCAAAATATATGATTTATTTTTTTTTGCAAATGTGCCGGTTTAGGTGATCATTTTTAACTATTTCTTTTTCATACCTCCTGTATAATTGTACATACTTTGCTGACTGTGTTTCAATTCCAAATCAAAATCAATTCCWGGGCTTCAGTCATTTATTGTCTATTTATCAATTAAAATACGTTTCGGTGTTTTCCACCATCATCASTTTCTGTAAAATAACAGATAGTAAAAAAAAAATTTCGTTAATTTAAAAAATAATCATAGTTCGTCAACAGCTTCATCATATCACACACTATCTGAGTATCTGAACAAAGAATTCTAGTCTCTTCCCAGAATTGATTGTCCTGACTAATCACCTGTTAGGCCTAATTAATCTTAGAATGTTTTAAAGTGTTGCAATTGTGATGTATTTTAGTATGTGATATGATGAAGCTGAACTATGATTGTTTTTTAAATTAATGAAATTTTTTTTTTTTACTTTCTGTTATTTTAGAGAAACACCGAAACGTATTTTAACTGATAAATAGACAATAAATGACTCAAGCCCAGGAATTAATTTTGACTTGGTTCCTGTATAATATAACTTAAAACAACAACATTAAGAATAACGCCTTAACTTAATCATATGAGAAACTAGTATGTTTAGTTTAGTTTCACATCATAGCAATATGTTCAAACAGAACCGAAAAAGTTAACTTAGGTATCTACTATCTAAAAAAAAACTTATTTTTTTAAATGGCGTTTGTAGGCTGCATGCACCCATGTGGTACAAAACTAATGCCTTAAACCCATACGGGGAGTTAGCCAGGGCTTTCAGCTAACTACCTTACAAATTTGGGTTTTAAATTTTAAACCGTTAATTTTTATACCTTGTTTCGTAAACACCTGTCATGGCATACTTGTTTAATCAATTGACATATGTCACAAACTATAAGAGATAAATTAATAAAACTAGGGTTGCCCAACTTTTCAATTGAAAGCCAAATTCAACCATGATAAAAAATGAATTCAGCTTTAAAATAAAAAAGTTGGGTTATACTTTTTATACACCCTGTACAGCTGGCGGTCTCAATCTATTTTATATGATTACGGCACGAGTCTTTATTACCGGAAACAAAATTWAAATTTTCTTAGACAATTGAAAGGGGGAAAATGTCTAATTCTCTGTCTACGAAGATTACCATGTCTGTATCTTCTTTGTTTTATTCGTTCGATATTTTGTTTTAAATTAATTAAATGTTTCAAAAATAGATCACATACTAAAAAGCGAGTTATCGAATGTGTTAAAGTAAGAGGACGTCACCTTAAACAATTAGGCCCATTTGTTATTCCGATGTGTTTACCCTGATCAACGGAATATATTTCTAGCCCTAATCTACCGCAGGAAGAAGGCGGAGGGGAAGGAGTACCTTTGATTTGAATATAGATTTGAATATAGCCCTTTTAGATATAATTTCCAAGAGTTTTTTGACTTATCTTTAAATGTCTTCTTCTGAATTTAGCAGTTATCTCACTGATTATCCGGCAAATATATCATATGCATATCATGCCGAAAGTCGGCACTTTGTTCACACTTTCACGTTAGGACTCTGAGGGTACTAAATATTCAAAATTCAATAAAACCTAATGGGGTCTTATATGCCCATATTACCGTAAAAGCAATCATCTGTAAAGTTAGGCAAATTTTAGGCCAATATTTTAACAAGGCAGGCACCCTCTTTAAAAACACATTTTCGGGGCTGGCTGGAAGGAATGGGTAGGTTTGCACATAATCAAGTTTGGGGGTTATATTTCGTATCATCGTCGTGATTCGAACCCTTATTTGACCCGAAATATGCTATTTTGAAGGGACCAAGTCTTTTAGGACGACTAGTAATCCTCATTTGAGCACCTTTCAACTGCTTAAATACCTAGAAACTAGCTTCAACTGTCTTTAGCTTATCTAAAATATCTCATAGTGTTTCTAAATTCACCGAGGTGTTGATCGCATTTCTTAAAAATCAGCTTGATTATAAGCTGTGAACGACTCATTTGTTTTGATTCTATATTCTCGCTAATATTTCGAAAACAATAGTAATAAGAACCGCAGTGTCAGTAGAACAATATTTTCAGAATTAACTGCTAATTTTAGTTTTTAGTTTGCTCAATACATCAAACATATAGGATTGATTTGGCGGTCACAGATATTCTGCAAAAAATCCACTTGAAAAACACAAATCAACTCGAAAGTTTTAAAAATATTTTTGTTGGATCAGATGTAAATAAAATAAATCAGTAATAACGGAACAGCCTTGGATATGTTTTCGACTCTATATATTTGTTAATTAATTTTTAAAAAGAGGCACATCCAATTGTTAATTGAATAACAAATTTATTAACATTGTTTCATTTCCTGTACATATTCCAATGAAAAATGTTTTATGAAGAAATATTCGATTTAATTGGAAATTTTTTTTATCACTTTGGTCATTTGAAATACTTGATGCAGTAACTTTTGTCAAAGTTGATTTATTCAACCCATTTTAATTGATTTAATATTCGAAATTTAAATGGTTTTTCATTTCAGGTCAATCATCAGCCAAGCTTAATCTGTCAAATTATTTACATTTTATTTTCCACTTTTGAAATAAGTTATTGTAGTTCTTAATGCTTATTTGCGCTATTAAAACTGATAGCTGTAGATGTATTTTCTTTTCTTTTTTAGATACTAATTTCTCCTTTACTGGTGTACTGGTTATATTTAATACTGGTAAGTATAATTTATGTTCTGCTTGGGAAATGTGTCTTTAACTGACGAAACAAATAAATTAAACAAGCACTTACGTTTTGATGCAAATCAATGTGAAATTTTATGTGTGGCCTTTCACGGAAACTTCAGACTCTATGACGACGCTATAGGTATGAATGTGACTAAACTCGATATTATGACCCAATGTTGACCGACACTACTATTTATTCTTTATTTATTAAGAGAAACATTGTTTTCGCATGCTTCAGAGAATAGATAAGAAAACATTTATGTCAGATTATTTCAAACTGTTATTACTAATTACATGTAAACGCTGTTGACATTAAAGGAATCAATTTACGGTCCCTGCATATTAAGCAGTTGAAACAAATTTTGAGAAATCATTCCATTTCCGAGTGATTTCCGGTGAAAATCCGGTAACCCGTTGGTCTTATTCAGTCAATAACATGAAAGAACCGGATGTTCGCCTCATATAAAAGTAGCTACTATTTCGATTGACCCAAAAGGCTTTATGATGCACCATTTATCGATACCCGCCTTTATTCGTACTTTCCTCGTGTTTAACGATGCGGGTAAATCGTCCGTTACCGGTAAATTGAGTTTGAGTTTAAATTTATATGCTGAATTATGTGTACACAAAGATCTGATACTGATACACCTGATAAATTGGTAAATCACGTACATTTGAATAATTTTACTAAACACAGCTGTACGTTTTGCTAGTGGGGTATTTCCTATTTGATCTGCAGATATTGTATACATTTATAATAAAACCAACCAACCCATCAAGTGTCGAACCTTACTGGGTTCTGGGTCACAAAGTAATTTCTTAACAAAGGAGTTATAAAACAGCTTACATTACAGAATCAGCTAAAACTTAAATCAAATGTACTATTAATAAGAACGAATTTCAATTAGAGTTTTTGTTAATTGATAAAATAACAGGCAACATACCTCAAACTTCTTTTGATCTTTCAAGGTTACCAATTCCCCAGAATATAAATTTGGCAGATCCTAATTTCAACCAAGCCTCAGGGATTCATATCTTATTGGGAGCGAAATTTTTTTATCATTTGTTACTCAAAGGACAGTTTAAACTTGGCCTTCATAATCCTATATTACAACAAACATAACTGAGTTGGATTGTGTCTGGTCAATTTGAGGTCCGTAATAAGCAACAAAAATGTCTTTGTAATTTTTCAAAAGACTTAAATTTAAATAAACAGGTATAGTTATTTTGGCGCGTTGAAGAGTGTCCTGCTAATTAATGGGTTTTATCAAAGGAGGAGCAGGAATGCGGGTTACATTTTAAACAACCTTTCGCACGTCACAATTCGGGTCAATTCATAGTTAAATTGGTGAAGCAAATTAAACAGCTACTCAACACTTCCAAAAGATTGAGAATAACTTAAAAAAAAATCAAGATATTGGTCAAAGATATGGTTAGTTTATAGACAAATTCATAAAAATGGGTCATATGTTACCTATTAGTATTTCAGAACAAAAGTGTATCCCTAATTGATATTTATTACATGACTGTCTATTCAACGACTATTCAGCAACAATAAAACTACGAGCTCTTTTTGGTGCCAGTGCACCTCAAAACTCTCATTAAATGATGTTCTAAAGGTAGGTACTTGTATTGAGGTTATTATCTTTAATATCTCGCTTTCGATCTCATTTAATTGTTTTTACTGCAGATATTGCAAAAATGTACAGGTGCATTCTCCTTTCCAAGGGAGATCGTGAATATCAAAGGATCGTTTGGCGTCCCAGCGGAACCTAACCACTCGTACTTCTTCTTTTTCTTCATATGCTTAGATTTGTCCACTGCTGAACATACGCCTCCTCTAGTTTCTTCCACCCTCTCCTTGTCTTGTACATCCTGCATCCAGTTGGTCCTGATGCGTTTTATGTTGTCAGACCATCTAGTTGGCGGTCGTCCCCTATTTCCGTTCGCGTACTCTCTGGGTCTCCACTCTTTTATCCGCTTGGTCCACATCCGCATTGTCTTGTATTCTGGCAATATGTCCTGCCCAGTTCCATTTCATAGTTGCGGTCCTCTCCACTGCATCTACGAGTCCTGTTCTTTTGCGGACTTCAGTGTTCGTAATGTGGTCCCTAAGTGTCAATCTTAGCATTGATCTTTCCATTGCGCGTTGAGTCACTCTGAGCTTCTGAGTTACCCTTCTTGTTAAGGTTAGTGTTTCGGCACCGTAAGTAAGAACAGGCAAAACACACTGATTGAAAACTTTTCGCTTTAAGCAAATCGGTATATTTGTTTTAAATATGTGTCTCAAATTTCCAAAAGCTGCCAACGTCAATCCTATGCGTCTCTGTAGTTCATGTGTTTGGTTGTCCTCATTTATTCGAATTTCATGACCGAGATATTTGTAAGCGGTAGTTTCCTCAACCTGGACGCCATTGATATATACATACACCATCACTAAGTACTAGATTTGTCATTAGCTGCGTTTTCGACAAATTGATTATTAGACCGATGTTTTGAGATGCCGCATTAAGTTGTTGAAGCATAGTTCTGGCGTGGTCAATACGATGTGTGATTAAAACTATGTCATCTGCGAATCTTAACTATGTGAGGATTTTGCCATTTATGTTGATGCCAAGTCCATCGAAGTGAACAGATTTAAACATATATTCGAAGAGACTTGTAAAGAGTTTCGGCGAGATGGTGTCTCCTTGTCGGACGCCTTTATCGATTATAAATGTACTCTCCTGTGTTTTCACGCTGGCTATAGCGATCTCATAAATATGCTTTATTATTTGAGTATACCGGTAGTCTATTCTACCGTCTGACAAAGATTTTAACATGTAGAACTGATCAATAGTGTCGAATGCCTTTTCGTAGTCCACGAATATTAGAACGAGTGGTCTGTTGTATTCAATGGACTTCTCGATGAGGTTTTTAAGGACTCGGAGATGACCATTTGTGCCATATCCTGATCCAAAACCGGCCTGTTTCCGTGGTTGATAAATATGTAGTTTGGAATTCAGCCCATTCGTTAGAATCCGTGTGAATAGCTTGTACTCATGCGATAGTAGGCTTACAAGACGGTAGTTGGCAAAATTGGTGTTGTCTCCCTTTTTATGCAGCAAAGTAATGGTTGCGTTGTTCCAGCGCTGTGGAATTTTTCCTTGTTTGAGGCATTCGTTGAACAGGATCTTGAGACTTTGCAGCATTTTATTGCCTTCCAGTTTAGTAGCTTCGATAACTGCTTTGTCCGCTCCGGGAGCTTTATTGTTTTTCATTTCAGATATGGATTTGTGAATTTCGCCAGTTGTAATTTCTGGAATATCGTCTGATCATTGATTCATAATCATATGAATCCGCTCGGTGGTAATAGTTGTTTCGGTCTTAACATACTCGTCTCTGTAGAATTCTTCGATTATTCTCAAAATATCTTGTTTGTTGGTCGTTATTTTTCCTTTTCTGTTTCACAGTTTACAAATCTCCCTTTTTCCCCCAGATAACCTTTTTTAAGTACTTTTATGCTTCGGTTTTCTTCAATGGTCTTTTCAGCCATGGTGGTGTTAAATGTCCTGAAGTGGTTTCGGATGAATTTAGTTACGTTCTTATTCAATTGTTTTAGTTCCGGAAAATTTCTGCCATATTTCTCTTGTGAACATTTCCTTTCTTTCATCATGTTCTTGGTTGTATCACTTAGTTTCGATCGGGCAGAATTGATTTGTTTGGCTTGTTGTATAGCTTTTGTTATGTTTTCATTCAGCCGATCAATGTCCACAGTGTCGGTTGTTGCTGTGTCGAACTTATTTAAATGTTTGTTAATGTCACTTTCAAAGGTTTGTGTGTTTTTGGGGGATGTCTATTTCTTACTGTTTGTTTTCTGTACCATCTTCAGTCGTTCTCTTTTAACATTTACTGATATTTTCGATCTTACCATTCTGTGATCACTGTCTACGCAGAAGTTGGTCGGAACTGTTTCGTCATGGATTATTTCTTTTTTGTCCGTTATTATGTATACTACTTGTACATTACCGGCTAAATACGGTGACTTATGGTACTGCTTCAGCCTCCTTTTTAGCCACCAGATGTCTCAAACAATTATCATTTGATAATATTGTCTTATTTCCAAATGCTGCTAATTGAAGAGGTTGGATGGTGCACATGAGACTCAATCCACTTTGTCTTGGGCAAGAGAAGTCCGCACTATTTTGAGTTCAGCTGGTTTTTACTTAAGGCAATCATATTCAAATGATAAGATATTATTAGATAATTAGTTGGGTAACGAATCATCAGATAATGTTCAAATTGTCAATACACATAAAGGACAGCAACAATTCTAAAGCTTTGGGTATTCTGTGGAACTCATCGGAAAATACCTTTCAATTCACAATTAGCTCAAATAAAAATGAAATGGTAACAAAGCGAATTATTTTCTCAATTGTCAGTAAAATTTTCGATCGTCTTGGTTTCATTGATCCTGTTATTATTATAGCTAAAATGCTTCTTCAAAAATTGTGGTTATTAAAAAATTATTGTGATGGACCCATTCCAGAAGATTTATCCCAAGAATGGTTCAGATTTTACCGCAAGGTGCCAAGTCTCAATAACATAAGAATTCCCCGTCTAATTCAAATCAAGAATCCAATTCGAAACGAGGTTCATTGTTTTTCTGATACTTGTCAATTAGCATTCGGTGCATGTATATATTTAAAATCTGTGAATAATCAAAGAGGAATCCCAGTCAAGCTCATTTGTGCGAAGTCTCGTGTTGCACCTTTAAAACCAGAAACCTTACCATGTCTCGAATAATGCGGCGCTGTACTGTCAAAGAGTCATAAATTCTCTTCAAATCAAAATTCACCATATTTTGTTCTGGTCTGATTCAACTATTGTTTTAGCCTGGATTGCGGCAGAACCAAGCAATCTTCTCACTCTGTCTCACATAGTTCCACAAATTAAAAAATTTAAATTTGAAGGAATCTGAATGGAGACACGTTCCGACTAAGTCTAATCC